GGGTGCTTACACACAGCAGGCGGGTGAGGAGCAGACAAAGACAGGAGGCACCTATAGGGGAGCATGAGTCTTAAGTGTCCTCGTGCATGTCTGGGCTGTCGGTCCGTGCCACCTTGCGGGGAGGCGCTGAGCTCTCACCCTCGAGGTCTACTTGCTCCTGGTCTCTCTTCTTGGCAGCGTTCTGGGGATGGGGAAGGAGAAGGGCTGTTGAGACTTCACTTAGGTGACTTCCCAAAATCCTGCTGCAGGAGTCACAGAGCTGGGCCTGAAGCAGGGCAGTAAACCCAGGGCCCCTGGCTGTGCATCCCCTCACCACACCTGCCCCACTAAGCCACAGTCCAACTGGAGCTGTGTGCCTGTAATGGGTACTACAGAGTCACCATGTCTCACGATGACCCACGTATGGCCCCAAATGCTCAGTGGAGCGATGCACTCTACTGAAGCACAAGGGCCTTTGTGAGCCCCCCAGGGAAGCCTATGCATTGCCACAGAAGAGGAAAGTGGCCCCAGTTTGGGAAAACCTCCTTTCCCCACTTTTGGGAATTAAGGCCTGTAGGGCTGAGGAAGGGGCCAGTGTGGGCCAGCTCAAGTTTTCTAAGCAGTCATTTCACCATGGGGTCCCCCTTCAGTCTTGCCCAGAGCAGGTTGCTGTCAGATGTTCAATGTTAGGCGAGAAAACAAACTGAGTTCATTATAAAACAACATGTAGAGCCCTGGCCGGTGTGGCTCGGTTGAGCATCGTCCCATGCACTGAGAGGTTGCTGGTTCAATTCCTGGTCAGGGCACATGCCTGGGTGGCAGGCTCGATCTCCAATAGGGGGAGTGCATGAGGCAGCCGATCAATATGTCTCTCTCTCTCAAGTCAATAAAAACATATTAAAAATAAAATTAAAAAAACGTAGGGATTTTCAATACAGAAAGAGAAAAATATCCTGTATGTTTAAAAAGGTAGTCTCTTGGGGGGACGGGAGGGGAGATGGCTTTTCATGGCAACCACACCCTCTTGTATGGCCTGGATTTTAATCACCTATAAGTTTTGCCACTGAACAAAGATTCCAGATAATCACACTAGAGTCCATCTGCCACCAGGGCAGTGCTGGCTGCAGGCTCTGGGAGGAGGGCCTTGGAGGTGCCTGAGCCTTGGTATGGCTGGCCAAGGTCCTGCTCATCCCTGAGCTCTGTGGCCTCTGCACAGCCATTGCCTCCTCTGAAACACTCTTCCCTCTCTTGGATCACCTATCAAACTCCTGTTCAGACCTCAAGACCCCATTTGAATCCCCCATCTCCCAGACCCATGTCTTTCCCCCACTCAGAGCCCTTGTGCTGGGCACTGTGTTCCCCAAGTCCCAGCACCCGAACCCCATGTGCCTTACCTTTTTGTCCCATTGCTGATGTAGGTAGCGCAAAAGGATATTTGTTTTTTCTGTCACAATGACTGAAGAGGAAAGAGGAAAGACAAAGTTGCAGGAAGGGGCTACAGGAAGATGCTGCAGATGGCCCAGCCTCCCTCCTGGTCAGCACTGCCCCTCCCAGGAAGGTGCTCATCCCTCCTTGGCCTTTGGGGCCATCTCTGCCCTGAGTGGCCTTTCTGGGACTCGAGTCAGTATCCCAACCTAAGAGATTTCAGGAAGCCCAGGGTTTTCCCTCCTGAGCCCACAGCCACTACCAGGAGCCTAAGACAGCTGCACTGGAGTCCCTCCTTCTCAGAAATTCAGAGTCCACTACTGCATTCTGGTTTCCACTCTGTGGCTGGGGAGGAGCTCTGGCATGTAGGCTAACACATGTCTTCCCAGGCCAACCAGGAGCACAGATCTACATAGCTGAGCCCCAGTGACCACAGAAGCCAATCAGCAGGGTCCATGGGGATCCTTTTTCATGATTAAAATAAAACACCACGGCCATGACAACCTCCCACACTGTAGGCTCCAGGCCTTTCCCTGCAGGCCTCTCCACCTAGACAACCTCCCCCCATGCTGCCCACCCCAGGTTGGGCTGGGCCCCTGTCCCACAGTACTCATTTCAGGGTGTTATGGAGCTGACAGGGGACACCTGACTTGATGCCAGGTGATGGGGAGGGGGCCAGTGAGCAGTAGATGAGGGCTGACTGGGGCCCCCCAAGGGGCTGGATATGGATGCCAGTGTGGAGATGAGGAGGGTTGTGGAGAAAGCAACACTTCCCACTATTCCCAAGAGCTGGGAGCTGACCAGCATCCCATGAGTCACCTCCTACATCACCTTCCAACCTTTCCTCTTAGCAGCCTAGATGACACAGAGTGTCAGAAGCCACTTACTCTGTTCGGATGGGTACTCCCTCGTGGGCAGGTAGACTGAGGGGCGTCGATTCTGCAGGAGGGTCCAGAAGACATGGGTTAGGAGTGCAGGTCTACTAGGGTCCCCTCACCCCTTGACTTGGCACCCACCCTCCAATGCAGATCAGAAGATGCATGAATATCTTAGGTGAGGCGAGGCTTAAAGATCAGCCTCTGTTCCCAGCGAGATGCTGATGGGGGTGGTGCACATCACCCCAGACCCCTGCCCCACCCCCCAGCTCACTGAACCTGCACTCACCGAGGCTTTACACACAGAGTCAGCATGAAATCGACTAAAATTGCTTTTGTTGTAGACTGGCAGTCCTTTCAAAAAATCTGCCTAAAAGACAGAAAAAAGGGTAAATGAGAAACCCTGTAGGGGCGAGCCCAGGAGAATGTAGGGTGGTGAATAGGGCTTCCAGGTAACTTCCAGTTGCCCTCTTTCTGTTCTAAGTTTCCCTGAACACATGCTTGAGATGGCCACCTAACCAGAAAAAAGTAACCAACCCCAAGGGAAGTACACATTCTACGTCAGAGTCCTCACAACAGCCCTGTAACATGTCCAGAGGTGGGAAAACTGAGGCTCAGAGAGCACAGGCCATTTGTTTAAAGTCACACCACAAGCAAGCAGCAGGGTGGGGCAGGGTGGGGAGTCAGACCAGGCCTGTCCAACTGTAGATCTGCCCGCTATGCTTGTGAATATTAAACTCCCAGTCTTGTCTCCATTTATTCACCTTCATTAGGTAGGCACCCAAAAGGAGAATGGCTTGTCCACCCTAAGAAATCCCACAGGCCAGGGTGGCAATAAATGGGGGTGGGGACCAGAAGGGGACAGAGTGGCTAGGACATGGGCTGCCACAACACAGAACTGGGATTCCAGGGTTGACTGACTTCTGAATTCCAAGAAAATTCAGAAATACAACTTCAGTGTGTCAGTGTCAGGTTTTTAAAGTTGGCTGGACTTTTCCTAATGCTATTTCCTAAAGCTGAGCAGACTGGGGTCAGTTCAGGGGCTGTTCCTGGGGTACCCACAACCCAAAGGCTGCCCCATGAAGCAGGGAGGCCTCCCAAGGTGAGGGCCAGAGACAGAAAAAGCAGACTGCTCCTCCCTGCCACCAGCTGCTTGGGGCAGAGGCTCAGCGCCAGAGGTTTCAGGCCCACAGGTGCTGGGGAGCCAGCAACAGAATTCATTCACTGCCCAACTCTTGAAAAGTCCTTTGTCCCTAACACTCTGGCGTCAGCTGGGAAAGCAAGAGCGAGGGCTCTGGAGCAGGAGGACCCTGACTCTGGGGATCAGGGGGGACTTAGACACAAGATGGACAAATAAAGGACAATTGAAGCCATGTCCACCTCAGGAAACTGAGGCACAAGAGGATGGGGGTGCAAGGGGAGGAATAAAGGCCAAGAGCTGTGGGCAGGGAGTGACTTCCCAGTAGATCAGGAGTGCAACACTGTCATCATGCCTGGAGTGGGACAGCCAGGGAGGGGTTTCCCACATGGCCTGCCCTGGGCCAAGAGCTTCCCTATCTGGAATCACCCTACCATAAGGATGAGGAAACTGAGGCAGAATGGTAACATGGCACTCATCTGGGATCCTCCGGCGCCAACAAGAAAATGAGGAAGGCAAAATGAATCCAGCTTTGCCCAACCTCAGAAGCCAAGCTCCTGTTATGTGACATGTCAGTGGCTCAGTTTCCCTGTCTGAAATCCAAGGGCTCGGAACCCCAAGAGGCTATGTTAACCATCCCCTTGGGGGTGGGGGTCCATCCCCATGCCTGAGCCTAGGTGCTGCATCCTTGGAGAAGCCGCTGTTCAAGTGATCTGCCACCGTCTGGGGCAGGCAGGAAGCAGGTGTCCTCACCTCTGGTGGAGCCCCAGTAAGACCTTGGTGGTGTCCCAGCCAGGGACGCTGGAATGTGGACAGGCCTCCCACTTCCACCCAGGAGGTGGCTCTCCTATCTGGGTGACATACTCCTCCAAAGCCAGTTCAAAGCCCCTCAATCCTGCCTTCCCTGCCCCAGCACCCCTGCCCCAGCTCGGCCTGAGACTATGGGGCCAGCTTCATCCAGCCAGACCAGGCTTTCTCTGGCTCCTACTATGTGACAGGCCTGCACCAGGGCACAGTAGACCTGCTCTTGGCCCTAGGAGTACCCAATACAGGGGATGCAGGTATGGACCAAAGAGCTGCACAGTGAATGCAAAATGTCCCTGAGAACAGGTTACCCTGAGATGCTGTGTGAGGCCCAAGACAATGGAGAGAAGATCTGCTGGTCTTGGGGGATCAGGGAGGGCTGCCAAGCAGTAATGATACAAGCACAGAGATCTGCTGGTCCTGTCGCAGCTCAAAGCCCTCCACAGCTCTGGCTGGGCTTGGTCCTCGCTGGCCTCCTGCCACATACACCTTGTCTATATTGTGCCACCGTCCAGGAATGCTCCTCTTTTCTCCATGTGGGAAACACCTACCAACCTCTACCTAGCTCAACAACCCCACCTGCCCCTTCCCTCTCCACACACCTCAGGGGCCTCTGCCAGAGCCACACTCATACCCCAAGGAGGTCATCTGTCTTCTTGTCTACCTCCCTCACTGGATTGGCACCTCCCTAAGGGCAGAGGGTAAGGCAGGGCTAACTCCACCCTGAGCTTGATGGGGCTGGCAGCAGAGTAATTAGAGGTTCAGGAGCCTCAGACCTGCACTCAGTCCTGGCTGGGCTCCTCTCTGGCTTGTGACCTCCCAGCCTGGCAGCCTCTCCAATGAACTAGGGATAACAGGGTCCCCTTCCAGGGTTGTTCTGAGTCTCAATAAGACAAAACAAGGAAAGAGCTTGGCACAGAACTCCCTAGAACGCACCTGTTAGCATCAATACATTTGTGCTGAATAAATGTATGAAGGCAGGATTCTGCCTGTACTTCCTGTCAGCTAAGCAGGAAAACAAGGCCTCAGAAACAGGGAAAAATCCTCACCTCACACAGGTAAATCCTAAGCACAGCTGGGCCCAGAAGCCATCCATTGCCTCAGCAAACACTCACTGAACATCTGTGTGTCAGTCCCCTTTTGGGTAGCCCAACAGTGACCCATCCAAAGCAAAATAAGGAAAAGAAGTGGTGTGCTGCCCAGTTGGTGTGGCTAAGTGGTTGAGCATAGACCTATGAACCAGGTGGTAACGATTCGATTCCAGGTCAGGGCACATGCCCATGTTGTGGGTTTGATCCCCAGTAGGGGGCATGCAGGAAGCATCAGATCAATGACTCTCTCTCATCATTGATGTTTCTCTCTCTCTCCCCCACCCCCTGCCTCTCTCTGAAATCAATAAAAACATTTTTTTAAAAACCTATTTAAAAAGAAAATTTAAAAAGTAGTGTGTGCTAAGAGAGACACTGAGGCCACAGTCAGGAAGGGGCCCTCTTGAGGAGGTGATGCTCATAGGAGGAAGAGCATTCCAAGCAGGCACAGGGGGGTAGGGACTTGGAGTGTGAGGATGTGAAAACAAGGCCGGTATGACTGGAGCTCAGGGAGGGAGGAGTTCAGTGAGTGGAGATGAGGTCATAGAAGTGGGCAAGGGCCCTGGTGCTGGGGATTCATCTGGTTACAAGGAAGACCCAGGAGTGTTTTGTAAGTTAGAAAGCGTCACAATCTTATTTACACCTTTAAAAACTCACTTTGGTTTCAGGTAAATTACAAACTGCCAGGGGGGCAGGATGGTGGCCAGGAGACCAGAGAGGAGCCTGGGGCAAGCAACCAGGCAGGAGATGGCAACACCTGGACCAGGGTGGGGATCCATGGATGGATTCAAGATGTGTTCTGGAGGCAGAGCCAACAGAGCCCTCTTATGGACTGGGTGTGGGCAATGAGATTGCAGTGATGAATCAAGAACATCCAGGCTTGGGTACCCACACTCTAGGAACCCACTTTCCCATCTTCCTGACCAGAAGTCTTCTTTTGCCCATCCCCCACTACATCCCAAGGACTGTGATTTGTGGGCTGGGACCCTGGGGTTTTGACTTATCCAGACAAAAGCTTCCATCATCTCATCAGCCCTGGGGATGCCAAATGTTGGCAGGTGGGGGGGGACGGGGGACTTCAGTCCAACTCTGAAGCTGGGTCACCATCCTACTTTGGAACCTAACGCCAAAGAATCACCATACTCAAATTCCAAGATAAGCAAGTGGCCTAAGGGGGATTTTAAACTCCTAACCACCAGGTGGTATCCCCACTTCAAAATGAGAAGACAGGTGGGAGAGAATGTCACCCATTCCAAGTCACCCAGCCTATCTGTTAACTGTTCACTGTCTTAAACCCTTTATGATATCAGTTCCCTAAGCTGTCACAACCCTATGAGGTCTGGACTACTGCTACTCACATTTACCAGGGAAGGGATCTGGGGATCGGAAAGATGAAGTTGCTCCCTCTTAGGGGCACTTCGGGGCCGTGAATGGTGGGGGTGGGGTCAGGGCTCTGGGGGACCCAGACAGTCTGCGATGTCGCACTTCTTTGGGGGCATGTCATGATGACAAGACCCCCCTCCCGCCCTGATGCCCAGACCGGCCTCCCAAAACCTGAATAGGAGAGGCCAAGGCCTGGCGCGCAAAGGACAAGGCCAGAGCTGGAACCCCATCCTCACCCCAGGCGATTTCCAGGGACCCGGGACCCGGAAATGAATGAGGTGTCAGGGCCTAGAATCCTAGGTGGAGTGAGGGGTCGGAGAAGCCAGGGTGGGATCAGCAGGAAGCTCACAGCAAGATCCAGGGGTCGAAGGTCATAGGTCAGAGAGAGGGGCGGGGCCAAGCCTGAGGAGCCTGACAGGGAGGTGGGGGATTCAGGGATTCGGGGATTACTGGAGGTGGGTGGGCTCGCGGCGCCATTTTGTCGAGCGAAGGGGTCGTACGGGCCTGGCGGCCGCCCTTACCATCTTCTGCTCCCTCTGTCGCCGCCTCAGCTACTGCCTCAGCTGCCACCGCCGCCACCACAGCCGCCTTCTTAGCCTCCGCCTCACAGTAACTTCCAGCCACCGTACAGCCGACCGTGAGGGCGCCGTCGCCCTCCCGTCATTGGTCCGTCCTCTAACCCCGCCCCAGGATATGCGGCCTCTGCGCGCTCCCATTGGCCATATACTGATAAGTCACGGACCCATTGGCCGCCACGCCTCCTTTTTGTGGTCAAGTTCGGTTGAGGGAGCAAAACCCCGCCCGGGACTTGGAAGCGATAGGGCAGTAGAATCCGGAAGTGGGCGGAGGCCGCGCCCCTGAAGCCTCTTGGGATTTGCAGTCCGCAACTCTGGGAGGTTCAGCCGGTCTCTCCTTTTTCTAGTTCGTTTGCTATGCTTTTTCCTGTGGTGTCTCATCGGGTTCCCACGGCAGCCCCGGAAGACTGGGGGCCATCATAATACTTCCAGACTCCCCGGGGTCCCAACCTCAGGTTTCGGCATATCTAAAGAGCTCCTGCCCGCCGGCGTGGCTCAGCTGTTGAGCGTGGACCTAGGATCCAGGAGATCAAGGTTCGATTTCCGGTCAGGGCACATGCCCGGGATGCAGGCTTGATCTCCGATGACTGACTCATCATTGGTGTTTCTCTCTCTCTCCCTCTCCTTTCCTCTCTCTGAATCAATAAAGATATATCTAAAAAAATAAAAAGCTCCTGCACTAATTCTTTGAACTAAGTCAAACTGTCTTGTTCAAACACCTTCCCATGGCTCCCCAGCCCCCCAAGGATCCAGTCCCATCTCCTGGGCTCCAAATTGTGGAGCCTTCCAGCCTCCCTCGTCCACCTTTTATCCTGACCCCTGTCCAATCCTCTCTCCCTTTGGGCCCTTTCTAAACCCTGCTACCTCCTTCAGGAATCTTTCCGACTGTATTCTTCCAAAAGCCAAGTCAGGTGCCTTCTCTGGGCTCCCATAGCCCTGACTCTGCTGTATCCAGACTGGCTGGGTACAAATCAGGCCCCCACTCCCTACCCCTCGAGTGACAGCCTGGTGAGGACAAGGACCCAGTATGTTGGAAGTATGGAATAAGTTACTGACTGGAAGCTACTAAGTATTACTCCAACAAGAACACAGCAAAGAAGAAATACCTTATTTTATAGGAGCCAAATGAGCCTCAGAGGGCTAAGGTCTTGCTCAAGGTCATGCAGCATGTCCCCAAGGGGCAGGTGGAAGATTCAAACCCCTCCCCACAAGCTTTCCCAGACCTGTGAAAATCATGACATTTATAAGACAGGTGGAAATTTAGATATTTAATGATATTAAGGAATTACTGACTTTTTGTGCGAAAAAGTTTTATGGTTAAGTTTTAAAGGGTCCTTATCTTGGAGAGATGCACTCTTAAATATTTACATAAGTAATAACCTGATTCCTGAGGTCTGCTTCAAAAAACAGGAGAGGGGATGATGGCTTGTGGTTCATTGGTAGTCAGAAATGGGTGGATACACGAGATTCACTATACTATTCCATGAACTGTTGCCGTATGTTGGAAATTCTTAATTCAAAAGCGTAAAAAGGGACTTGGCAAGGTCTGACTTCCTACTCCCCCTTCTGGAGGAGCACTCATGTCTGAGTCATCCAACCTCCTCACAAAAACAGCAGCAGGAGAATCGAGGAAAATGTTTGGGGGGGGCCAGGGGGGTCTCATAGGCAGCGTCGCGTTCAATGGCTCAGCGATTTTCGGCCCTTGAGCATGCGGCGAAGGATGACCTGAACACCAGCCGGCGTGCTCAAGCGCTTTATCCAACCGTGCTTGTGCTTCCGTTTGATGTTGCTTGGCTGGTACTCATTCCCCCGTGCCTTGCCCCGGCTCGGCTGCGTGACTGGGAGTCCCCAGGCGTCAGGTAGCTGCAAGAAGGCCTGGGGCTGGAGCCATCTGCAGGGGTACAGCAACAGCGAGAAAGGTCAGAGGGGGCGCTGTGTGACTTTGGCTCGGCGCTCACCCTCTCTAAGCCTGGGCTTCCCCATCCGTGCTGGGACTGAGCCTAACAGCAGAAGGCGCTCAGTAAGTGCGCAAGGCACTGGCAAATTGTGTGGTCGGTAAACAGCTGGCCCCAGCCCCCGACACCGGCCTAATTCCCGAGGACTCACCTGACACCCAATATCGCCGCCGACCTACTGAATGGACACAACAGGCAACTCCGGGATGTGCCCAAGAGAGCCATGTCTACCCTCGGGTCACGCGGTCCCGGATGTAAGCTATTCCGAAACCCACAGGCTTCGCAGCTGCGAAACGGAGACTTCTGGGAAATGTAGTTTCTCTAACAACAGAGCCCTCTTTGCCGCGGGGGCCTCCTGGAGTTGTAGTTCTACTTCCTACGCACCAAACCCTTGAGCAGCCGCACCCGCAGGTGTGTGTAGTTTCTCCTGTGGATCAGCAGGGGCAGGCGAACCGCACGTCTCAGGTTTGCGCATGCGTACAAGCATTATGCCCCATGGTCTGCTGGGAGTTGTAGTTCCTTCTTAAAGTCGACTGGCAGAAGTTGCCCAGGGTTGGCGGTGGCGCAGCTGATGGCAGCTGCAGGAAATGGCTGGTTGTTCCTCCCACGTCCATCGGGAGCCCGGCAGATGGCACACAGCTGGCTGGCAGCTTTCCTCTGGCCTCAGGCAAGCCTTCTTGGCGGTGAGCCCAGGAGGCCTGAGTTGGAGTTGGCTGGATGTCCATCGGGTGATCCCTGCTCCTCTCTGGGATTCAGTTTCTCAATCTGTTAACTTGAAAGCTTGCCCTTGGCTGTGCCCCCATTCGAGCTCGAGAAGAATTTTTTAACTTTAAAAAAAATCCTCACCTGAGGAGATATATATATTTTTAAATTATTTTAGAGAGAGGGGAAGGAGGAGAAAGAGATGTGAGAGAAACATCAATCGGTTGCCTCCTCTACGTGCCCCGACCAGGGATCAAACTGGCAACCTAGGTAGGTGTCCTGACGGAGAATGGAACCTGTAACCTTTTGGTGCACGGGACAGCGCTCTCACCAACGGAGTCACTAGTCCAGGGCTAGAAGGATTTTTCAAATACTCAGATCTGAGCCTCTTCCCTTTTCACACACCCTCTATGGCTTCCCATTGTCCCAGAGAAAATATCCAGCTCCTCCACACACCCACACACACACACCCTATTTTCAGCCACACCCTCCACTGCCCAGTACTACCCTTCTCATCTTTTTCTTTCTTTTTTTAAAAAATATATCTTTATTGATTTCAGAGAGAGGAAGGGAGAGGGAGAGAGAGAGATAGGAACATCGATGATGAGAGAGTCATTGATCAGCTGCAGCCCGCAACCCGGGCATATGCCCTGACCAGGAATCGAACCCTGATCGCCTGGATCCTAGGTCGATGCTCAACCGTTGAGCCACGCCTGGCTGGGCTCATCTTTTTCTTTTTAATCCTCACCCGAGGATGATGTTTTTTCCATTGCTTCTCAGAGAGAATGGAAAAGAGAGAGACTGAGGGGGGAGAGAGAGAGAGAGAGAGAGAGAGAGATCAATGTGAAAGAGAAACGTGGATTGCCTCCCAACTAGGGCCGGGGATTGAGCTGCAACCGAGGTATGTCCCATCCCCTTGGTGGGAATCCAACAGGGGACCCTTCAGTCCGCAGGCTGATGCTCTAACCACTGAGCCAAACCGGTTAGGGCCCTTTTCCTCTTTTTAAAACCCTTTCCTGGTATATTGTCTCCCTAAGCGCTGCCCCTCTCTCTTGCCCAACCCTGCCCCACATGCTCTCCCCATACTCTCCCGGAAGCCAGGGCCCCTCAGGGGCCAGGCTTGGGGCTGAGTCCCTGCAGGCACCCCAGCATCTCCCAGCTTCAGGAGAGCAGGAAGTGTTTACTGCAAGAATAGTCTCCCAGAAGCACTTGAAGTGGGCAGGAGTGGGTGGCTGGACCTAATCCAGCTCTGGCAGCAAATTTTAGGAATTGGGAGTGGGCAAGGAATGGTTAACCCCTTGTCCTCTGAAGCCCATCCTACCAGCACCGTCATTTAGCAAACCACTACAATACTACACCAGTACAATAATGCCAATAGTGTATGTATGGAGTGCTTACCGTGCTGTTTTACCTGCATAGAGAACTCATGAGGGGATTAATTCCATAGAGATAAATAAATGGAGTCTCAGGAAAGCTACTTGCCCAAGCTGACATATCTGCAAGGGCAGAGGGTGGATCTGAACCCTGAGCTCTCTGACTCCAGCTGGGACCATAGAGTCACTGATTAAGTAGGCCGATCTGGAAAACTCCAATTCCCTAATTACTCATAGTGCCAAGCCTTCTGTTTAAAGGTTTAACGAATAAATTTCCAGGACTTAGAATCATACAAGCGTGGTTCCAAATCCCATCTCTGCCCACCCCCTCCACTAGCCTTGTGACCTTGTGACCTTGTGCCCTTTATGCGCCTCAGTTTCCCCACCTGAACTTGGAAAGATTTGGAAGTCTCTAAATGGAAAGCTCAGCCCAGAGAGAAGGGCATGGAAGCTTCGTTTGGAGGGGACAGGGCAGTTCGAAGGCAGGGGCTGGCGGAGGGGATCCTATTCCCAGTGAGGGGGCTCCAGGTGCCGCCTCCTTGAGCTCCCCAAACCCGAACTTGCGACCCCTTCTCAGTCTTAGGCCAATACCTCCCTCTACCTCTGTAGGTCCCTGAAGCGGGCTAGGCAGTTGCTTCCAGAGGCCGCCCCCATTCCGAGATGCCGCTTCTGATTGATACTCTAACTAGGGCAGGTCAGTCCGCAGCTGCGATTGGCCAAGGTGCCCGTCCGTCGGCACTCGGCTCCGCCCCCCGGGGAGAGACTTAAAGGGCCGGTTTGCTCAGCAGCGGTGGGATGCCCCTTTCCTGACCACCCGGGTTCCGCGTAGATGTGCCCGGCTCGACCCGCGCCACCATGTAAACTGCTCCTGCAGGCAGGCGCTGGCTTCTCCGCCCGGGACCCCTCGCCCTGCCCCGGGCTCGGAGCCTTCGATGAGGTGAGCGGGGAGTGGGCCCTGGGAGGGGGACATTGAGGCCTCTGGAGCTTCCACTTCGGAGGGGGTGTCTACAAAGCCCGCGCGCTCTGGCTCTTAGGAAGTCATGGAGCCCCAGTGGCCTTGACCCCCCCACAGTGCTGATAGGCACTCGGGAGGCAGGGGCCTGGCACTAGGGAGGGGGGCTGGCTTGGCGCATTGGTGTTCCCTTCTGCAGTCTGGGGTTGGGACCCCGCCAGAGGTGGGGGGTGCGGCCTGCTCCCCCTCCATCAGCAAGTATGGGCCGCCGAAGGCCTTCGGTGGCGTGCGTTATTTCCGAGGCGCCAAGGATGGGGATGGGGGAGGGGTTGGTCCCATCTCCAGGCCCTAGACAATGGGGGTGTGCTGCGCGGATATCCCCCTTGAGTTATGTAACTGCCTGTGGTTGCCATGGACACGGGAGGGGTGGCCCAGGGAACAGGATAGAGACCTGGAGGCCCCCAGGCAGAGCACTGACTCTTCCACCCTCATCTCCACCATTAGGGGCTGTGTGTCAGACCCCCAGAATCCAGTGTTTGAGCCTCAGCTTGTCGGTCTGTGAACACTGGGCAGTGCTCAAGCCCAGTGCCTCATAGTCTTGGAGAGATATGGACAAAGCCTCTGGAGCTTAGTTTCAAACCCTGTCCCCCAGGGCCTTACCTTTCAGGAGCCAGGTTTAGAGATGTGGGATTGGGGCATTTTTAAATGCCTTCAGAGACCCACAGAACATGCTAGTTTAATGACAGTGAGTTAATGAAAGAGTGCATGTGTGAATGAATTAATGAATGGATAAATGAATGGGCTTAGGAAACCATAACTGCTATGAATCTGAGCCAGGGGAGGTCCTCAGGGCTGGGCCACATTTGCCACAATGTCCCCCCAGCCAGGAAGGCTCCCCTGACTACACCACTTTCCCTATGGACGCCTGTTGGGGTCAGCCATAGCCAGATCCTCTCCAGGATAGACTAGGGTGGCCAACCACCATGCAGGCACTGACCAGACAGAACATCTTGGTGCTTGGCTGGCTCTGGTCCTCCATAAACTGGAGCCTAGAAGGGGCCTTCCAGGGTGCTTACCTGAACCAGATGTAGGAAGTGGATGGTGTGGGGGTGGAGGGCTCCCTGCTTCCAGGGCCCCTGAGCTGTCTCCCCCACTCACAGGACACACCATGCTGACGGGGGTGACTGAGGGGATCTTCTGCTGCTTGCTGGGTGCACCACCCAACGCAGTGGGGCCACTGGAGAGCGTTGAGTCCAGCGATGGCTACACCTTCGTGGAGGTCAAGCCTGGCCGCGTGCTGCGGGTGAAGCACGCTGGGCCCGCTCCGGCCCCCACTCCACCTCCACCGCTGCCCGAGGCAGCCCAGGGGGGCCGGGCTGGCCTGGTCCGCTGCCAGCGCCGAATCACCGTGTACCGTAACGGGCGGTTACTGGTGGAGAACCTGGGGCGGGCACCTCGAGCTGACCTCCTGCATGGGCAGAACGGCTCCGGGGAGCCGCCGGCCTCTCTAGAGGTGGAGCTGGCGGACCCGGCGGGCAGCGATGGCCGTTCGGGCCCGGTGGGCACCGGGGGTGCTAGTGGTGGGCGACGGCGGCGAGCCCGGCGCCCCAAGCGGACCATCCACATTGACTGTGAGAAGCGTATCACCAGCTGCAAGGGCGCCCAGGCCGATGTGGTGCTCTTTTTCATCCACGGCGTTGGCGGCTCCCTGGCCATCTGGAAGGAGCAGCTGGACTTCTTTGTGCGCTTGGGCTATGAGGTGGTGGCTCCGGACCTGGCTGGCCACGGGGCCAGCTCGGCGCCCCAGGTGGCTGCCGCCTACACCTTCTACGCGCTGGCGGAGGACATGCGCGCCATCTTCAAGCGCTATGCCAAGAAGCGAAACGTGCTCATTGGGCATTCCTACGGGTGAGCCGACGCGGGGTGCGGCGGGGCGAGGGGGTGGGGGCCCGCAGAGACTGCACGCCCCAGCACGAAACACTGATCTCCCTCGTCGAAAAATCCCATTAACGTTTGCAACAAGACAGGGATTCCCACCACCAGCGCTATTGCCTAACATTGTTTTAAAGCAGTGTTTCTCACTGTTGACATTTTTGGTCTAGTAATTCTTTTCTGTGAGGGGCTTTCATGTGCCCTGTAGGATGTTTAGCAGCATCCCTGACCTCTACCCACTAGATGCCACTAGCACAATGGTCTAGTGATCGTGACAATTAAAAATGTCTTCAGATGCTGCCAAAGTTCCCCTGGTGGGCAGAATTACCCCTATCTGAGAACCAATGTCTTCAACCAAGTTCAAAATTGCTTGCCTTGGAGATCCCAAGGGCTCCAAGGAAGGGCTAATTGGAATCCCACAAATTCTCTTTACAAGGCACAGTTTGCTGTACTTCACTCTCCCTTAAAGGGGTGATAGGTAATACCATCTAGCATTTAGATAAGAGTTCACTCTATGGAAGGCTCTGGGCCTGGGTGCCTGATCACAATCAAGTGGTACCACTCCCTCCTTTACCCAGGAGGAAAGGCAGAATCCAATCAGCCAGCCAGGTTGAGAATTGTTTTAGTGGTTATAGCTCATGAAATTATACAAGAAAAAGAAGTGTTACATAAACTTCTGAAAGAAAGGAAGCCAGGCTGGAAGGTAATAGCTATTATTTGTTTATATGATAACAACCCTCAAAGTGGATGCTTATGCTAAATGATTCCTCCAATTAAATGATCACCCATCTGTGCTAGTTCCTGTGACCCCATAATAATGCCATGAGGTCAGCACAGTTACTCTTTCACAGGTGTGGAGATGGAGGCTCAGAGAGGTTAAGCAATCTGCCCAAGGGCACTCAGTGAGTCACTGGCACAGTCAGATCCACCCAACTCCTGCCTGTCCCATCATCCCTCTTTTTTTTTTTTTTAATTCTCACCCAAGGATACTGCTTTTCAGAGAGAGTGGAAGAGGGAGAGAGAGAAACATCGATATAAGGAGACACATCAATTGGTTGCCTCCCTCATGTGCCCCAACCAACCAGGGGCTGGGGAATCAGGCCTGCAACTGAGGTACGTGCCCTTGGCCAGAATCGAACCTGGGATCCTTCAGTGTGCAGGCCGAAGCTCTGACCACTGAGCAAAACTGACTAGCGCCCCATTGTCCCTCTTTATAGCATTGATTGGCAAACTTTTTCTTAAAGGGCCAAATAGTAAATATTTTAGGTTTGTGAGTCATATGTCAGTCTCTGTTGGAATTTCACTACTCTAATGTCATAGCAAGAAAGCAGCCATAATTGTAAACAAATGGGTTGGCTGTGTTTCAATAAAACTTTATTTCTTTATTTACAAAATATTTTACAAATTTACAAAATTATAAACTTAGTTTACAAAAACAAGTGGTCAACTTTAGAGGGAATGAGTAACTGGACTGGGGGTCTTCTCAGGTTGTGCCCTTCTGCCTTACATAAGGCAGGCAGATGTGGCACACCAGAGGTCAGTGAGGGAAGGGATACACTGGAAACAGTGACCTCTGAGCATCCAAAGGGTTAATCAGATTTATTTAATCAGATTGATATCCCAACTATCTGCATTAAGTAATTCTTACCCCTTTGGAGGTCATGGTGACTTTGAGGATCTGATGAAAGTTCTAGGTTCAGGTCCTAAAAAAAAAAAAAAAAAA